ACAACCTAAAGCAGAGCTAATATATGGAATCCTAATGTTTTTTTTTTTTTGAAGGTATCCCTCTCCCAGTCCTATGTCAGAATAAACAATATATCAGTGTGAATGAAATACTTATCAAAGCAGAGCTGTTGATAACCATAAGACTTTGAGGAAAATATCCCCAGTAAAGATATTTGATCTTAAATTGAAAATAATTTAGTCTTAAGGGGTAATCAAAAGATAGGAATAACCAACTTGTTATATTTCATGCATAAAATATAAAWATATAAATATATATTTATAAATATCAAGTGATGTATTACTGAAAATGAGTTCCTATGTGCTACTCTAAGTACACAATTTAGGCTCAAATGCAGAACTCGGCTAAAGGGTATGAGATTTACAGTCAAAGTCTTTGGAAGTAGATGAGTAGTCCTAGGCTAAGTAAGGGTTAAAGGAAGGATGCAGTCACTTTAGGACCATTTTGAAGAAAAAATACTGATAGTAAAAGAAATTCAGGACCACAAACACATAAAAGGGGAACATATTCCTAGAAACAAAGATGAAGGTCATCAAGGATGTGCTTATAGAAAACATATCTTACTGGAATAGTTTCCTCTCTCCCACCATTTCAGGTCAGTTAGCTGAGATTGCTTTTCAGCTAGAAAAAAAAACCATATCCTTGCAAGGACTCTAAACAATGTTATAGGAGTTCAACAGTTTTCTGTTTCTATTAAAGCATTAATTTAATTTCTATTAAAGCATTAACTGTTACTTGAATGGAAGTTCTTTTTAAGTGCCCGTAACTACTTTCCAGAGGAGCAGTGCTAAAGATTCTATTCATTGATATACAAAATGTTCTTCACCACCAAGTGTCTTATGGAGTAGAATTTAACTGTTTTCTCAGATTATTTAATGCAAATTATGTCAGACTGCTAATTGTTCAACAAAATCCATTTCCTCTTTTTCCCAGTTGCCATTGTGTTCATGTGACTGAGTCCTAGCAAATAGAGTGTGAGTAAAAATGTGTTGCACTTCAAAGCCCCAAATCACCCATGCTTGCCAGTTGAGATGGATATGACAGAATGACCTTAGAAATCATGAGGTGGAAACTCTCTCAGCCTGTGTCCCTTAGGAGAGCCATCTCACCAGCTTATTAACGTGTCCATCAAGAGAGAAACTGTGACCAAGACAGAAACTTTCATGGTGCTGTGCCATTACACATTTGGTCTATTTGTTACTGTAGCTTCTGCTAACTAATACACTAATAAACTTATTTTTTAAATCTTTGTTTTCCTTCCATTCGCAATCTTATGGATAAATTATAAATTTGAATACTGTTGAATCTGCAATGTATTGCTTTGAATTACAGGCTTAAAGCATCACAAAACAAAATATAATCTAATGAAAATATTAAATAACACWTGCTTAATGAAGACAGTTCTAAGGGAGTCTATAGAAATGACATATAAATATATCTCTTTACCATAAAATTAGTGCTTGGCTCATAGAAGTATAAAATAAATGTCTGTTATCTTATTAATAAATGATTCCTCCTAATGAGTTCTAGACTAACAATTTAGTAGCTTGGTTGCTTGTTGGATATTTCTAAATAGTTGTCCTGCAGGGACATCCACATGATATTTCCAAAACTAATCTTCCTTACCAACCTCTGCCCACTCTGCCTCCACCAGACTATGATCCTCCCAATTTCCCTCTTTTTATCAGTGGCATCCTTGAAATTGTCCTTCATTGGCTCCCATAGCCAAATGGTTGTTCCTATTTTTTAAAACTTGTTCTTTTTAGACATACATGACAGTAGAGCATATTTTTGACATAGTACACATACATGGTGCATAAATTATTCTAATTATGATCCCATTCTTGTGATTATACAGCATGTGGAGTTTCACTGGTGATGTATTCATATATGAACAGAGGAAAGTTATGTCCAATTCAATCTACTGTATTTCCTATTCCCATCGTCCCCTTCCTTCCTTCCCCTTTGTCTAATCCAATGAACTTCTACTCTTCTTCTAATTTCCCTCCCAGTATCTTTCCTCCTTTCAGCCCCCTTTTTATCACTGTATCTAAGACTATTCACATTATTTCCAATCTCCCCCATGTCCAAATCCCTACCCCGTGCTAGTAGTCCCTAGGTTTCTGGTTTTCTCACCTGTGGTATTTCAGAAAAGGGTTTGAGGACCAATATGGGATTGCCAACTTTAGATTTTGCCAGACAAAAACATTCTTAAAAAAAAAAATATTGATGACAGAATGGACACAGTGGCACATGCCTGTAAATCCCAGCTACTTAGGAGGTTGAAGGCAGGAGGATCACAAGTATCACTCATTTTTCTATAGACATTTTAAGGTTTTTATTTGTTTATTTTAACACTGTGTGTGTGCTGGGCAGGCCTCATGTGTGCTGGGCAGGCACTCGACAGCTGAGTCAAACCCTAACCTTATGTTTTTTTCTGTGGACTATTTAAACAATGGTAATAATGTGTAAGGTACTCAACTTCAGAATACAGAACAATCTTTTAGATTAAATAAACAATTTTACAAGAACTTATTACATTGTCCAAGATCAGGTGATTGGAAGCTCTCATGTGGCATTGACCCTCAGGTCTCGAAATTTTCTCTTACAGCCAGGTGAATACTCCTGAGCTCCAGTTACAGTGCTTTTCTGATCAACAATAGGTCTCCTCTGGCTTATTCTCCATCTGGCATTAAGTTCCCAAAAGGGAGACCCCACACAATAACTGCTGTGCTTTGAATGTGTCTCCCCAAAGTTCATGTGTTGGAAACAATCCCCAAATTAATGTGTTTATGGGGACCCATGGGAGGATGGGATCTTTGGGTTGTTATTAGGATTAGATGAGGTCAAAGGGTAGGGCCCCTTGATTGGATTAGTGGCTTTATAAAAGAGGGAGAGAGGCCCTAGCTACCATGCTAGCTCTTTCTTATCATGTAGTGTCCTCTGCCATCTTATGATGCAGTGAGATGTCCCCACCAGACCCTGTGTAGTTGCCAGAATTATGTTTTGGACTTCCTGGCCTCCAGAACCATGAGCTAAATAAACTTTCATTCTTTGTAAATTACCAAGTCTTGGGTATTTTGTTACAGACACAAAAAACAGACTGACACTATCTTCCCAATATTATTTCTAATTTCCAGGCAAACTGGGCCTCTATTATTCTATTTCCTTTTCTTTGACTATGTGATTCTTCTATCTTGTACACTCTATCCTTTTGTTTCTTCCAATAGTCAAAATTCTACCTAAAATTTAAGACCAAATTTGATGCCACTGCCTTCTTGAAAACTTTGATTCATTCTACCCACACAAATAAAATCATCTCTCTCCTTGAACTTTCCTAACACTGTAATGGAGCAAGTGGCTGCTTACTTTCATGATTATGTTTATTTACCCCTCCCACAAAATTAAATCCTTGAATATAAGAACAATGATTTTCATCACCCCTCCATTATCTGAACATTAAATATTCAATATATGTTTAATGATGTAATAAATGTTTTGGCCATAATAAGCCCAATTTTAAAAGTACCTCACAGATTCTCAGCACTCCCCTCCACACACACATGCATGTACTTTAGAAACTTTTTAATAACTTTATCTTCAATGTCAAGTGAATAGCAATAAAGTATTAGGGAATCAGGGTTTGCTAAAAACTTCTTTGTTCCTTCTAACATGAGGGAAACAAAAATAAATTCTGGTTCTAAGACTATAAAACAGCTTTTCTACCATGAAAATTTCAATTTAGGCTTCTACCCAGGAATTGTCTTATTTTATTTTAGTTTCCTACTTCATATTTGAATTGCTTTTAAGGTAATTTGTAGGAGAAACAGGAATTATGGGACTTCTTAACTTTAATCTAATTTTATGTGTATGCCCATTTTCGTGAAGGTACCTAATTTTTATTCCTTTAGTTTTTCACATTCATCAAAAAACAAGAAGGAGCTGGGCACAGGGCACATTCCTGTATGGAAAGCTCAGGCAGGAGGATCACTAGTTCAAAAGCAGCCTGTACAACTGAGGTGGAAACTCTCTTGCCAGGTCCAGGGTCTTTCTGTAAACAGCATGGGTCAAAATAAAAAATAAAAAGATCTGGGATATAGCTCAGTGGTAAGCACCCCTGGGTTCAATTTCCAGTACCGAAAACAAAACAAAACAAAAAACAAACGCAAGGAGGAATGAGATGACAAGGCTTATCTATTCCATTCTTAATTAACATTTGAGGGCTGGGGATGTGGCTCAAGCGGTAGCGCGCTCGCCTGGCATGCGTGCGGCCCRGGTTCGATCCTCAGCACCACATACCAACAAAGATGTTGTGTCCGCCCAGAACTAAAAAAAAAATAAATATTAATTAACATTTGAAGAAAATCTGAGCATTTGTACTCTCATGCTGTCTTTGACCTAGGGAATCTCCCCCCGCCCCCACCACCGAATAGTCTATTAATCTGAAAATCAATTTGAATTTATTATTTTTTGATATGTGGAAGTTATTTTATTTTCTTAATGCAGCACAGTAGACATACAATCAATATTATTTCCTAGAATGTGCAATATATACATTATTCACATTAAAAAATTAAGAATGGAAAACCTCATATGCAGGAACTATTTTAAAACATTCACCTAATGTTTTATTTTTTTGGTGGTGCTGGGGATTGAACCCAGGGCCTTGTGCATGCTGGGCAAGCACTCTACCAACTGAGCTATAGCCCCAGCCCCATATATCTAAATGTTAATTTGTTTTTGGCAATATATACTGCTAGTTTTATAAATCTGAGTGAATATTATAACACAATACACATTGGCATGAAGTACACATATGGGTCCATTCCAGAGGCTTAACACACTATATGAGTTACTTGCTCTTCACTTTGGTCATTGAGATTCCATGTGCTGAGGCATCAGAGTGGATCTGAAAGTTACTTTCAGAAGTACTTTTATCACAGTGACATTGTAAAAACTAATGTTTTTTTTTTTTTTTTTCCTATTTTCCTTTATAGTGAGGGGGCCTTTCCTCTTTAGAAGAAAGAAGACCTTCAAGTTTGTCTTTTGTTGGAATGGTTTGAGCGTAACATGCTTATTCTATGGCTAATCCTGTTACTAAATAAACTTCCATTCCTTGATTAATTGCTAATTTTGCCTCTCTCATTGCAACAGTTTCCTGAGGTAGAAACTCTCTTGCCAGGTCCAGAGTCTTTCTGTAGATAGCATCCGCCTCCTGGTTCTGTCCCTGGCCATCAAAGACTCCCACAAAGAAGGTGAGCTCCTTGGCCAGGGACATTCTGATGGCATGTGATTATTACCGAGTTCCCCCTCCACCAGGAATAATTGCCAACTTTGTTTTAACAAGGCCCATTTTTGCAGAGGAAGCTGCTACTCCTGTATCACAGGCTTGAGCCAATTTAAGACCACCACCTTGTGCAAGTCCATCTATTGCTGCAGTGGTTGGCAATGGCAGATTGGCAAAGTCATTAATTTCTGCTCTTATTTTGGAGACAAAAGGACCAACTTCACTGGAATTCATTTTGGCCCTTTCCTTAAGGGAAGGGGCACCAACACAGAATATCTCTGGGACTTCACTCCTAATTATTATCGTTCAAACTTTCTTAATCAGATTTTAAAGCATCCCCAGCTTTTGATAACATTTTAATAAGATTTTTACTAAATGAGTTTTTGCTATAAGCTCTACTTATTCCAAGCACTTCGATTCTCATTTTCACTTCTGGTGAACATATTATAGGTGCTCCATAAGCATGTGTCAAAATTAAATGATGTGAACAATATAATATGCTATTTCACTCTTCACAACCCTTTTAATTTTTCCCAACTCTCTGTTGTCTTCCTCCTTGTGCCCCACCTGCAGCTCATCCTTAATCTCAGCCTCAAAGCTGTTTCCCCTCCCTCAGGAGGGATTCCCAGCAGCTGGTGCCCGGCCCAGGGCCCAGACCGCCCAGCCCAGCCGCCTGCTGCAGCCATGCACAAACCAGACTGCCTCTCCCCCAGGTGGTGCTGGGCATGACAAGCAGCCACCAGGCAGGTGTGACCAACCTGCAGGGCGCCCAAAGCCCACAGTGCTGCAGCCTGATATAAATACGGGGAAGACTCCAGCAAAGATTAGGCTGAGACGAGTTTCTGAAAGGCTGAGAACTGGTCAGAGATCACAGAGTTTGCCCAGGAATAGGGATACAGAGTTAGGCTTAGCCAAATGTAGAATTACAAACCTTTAGGACTGCCTAGGAACTTAATGGAGACTCCAAAACGGTCAAATAGTAGGATTAAGGACCATGAACTCCTAGCATTACACAATACGAGGAGGGACAAATTTAAGTAGACATTACCAGAACAAGATTCAACACTCAGAGAAATATCATATGGAGCCCTTTCACTGTGTTATCCACCATATCTGGTAGACAAAAGCAAAACAAATAACAACAAAAACCCACTGGACATGCATATAATAAGGAAAAGAAAAAGAAAAAACTACCAGTAATCATGAGAAAAAACAATAAATGAAGCAGACCCAGAGATTATCAGATATTGGAGAAAGGACTTCAAGATAACTCTAATGATTATAGTTTTTAAATTAGAGGAAAAGATAGACAAAATACATGAAAAGATAAAGTACTTCAGCAGAGAATTTGAATATTCAAATATGAATCATGGACATTCTATAGCTGCAAGTTGAAATATCTGAAATTAAGAACTATTGGATTCAAAGATAGTCATAGAAAATATTTAAACTGAACTCAAAAGGGGAAAATAATGGAAAGTCAAAAAACACAGTAAGAGATATGGGGCACAGGCAAAAGGTCTATCATATGTGTAATTGGTATTTTTGAAGGAGAAGAGAAAGAGAAAAGAGGTAAGCAAAATCCCCAGAATAATAACTGAGAATTCTCTTAATTTAATGAATAATAAAGTCAAAGATTCAAAAAGCTCCACAAATGACAAGCAGGACAATAAAACCATATCTAAATGTATCATAAGCAAACATCTAAAAATCTGAGCTATGAAGAAAATCTTAAAAACAGCCAGGAAAAAAGAATTTAGTATCTCTTGGTGAACACCAATAAAGTTGATAGTTGATCTCTGAAAATTCTATGGACAGTGAAAGACAATGGGATAACTAACATCTTTAAATTGCTGAAAGGAAATTTTTTAAAAAGCTGACAAAAAAATCCCATCCACCTTGCATTCTGCACAAAAACAAAATAACAACAAAAAGCACCTCAAAATATTAAAATGAAAAAATATAAAAGTCCTCAGATAAACAAGAACTGTGAAGTTCATCCTTAGCAAACCAACATGGTAAGAAATCCTAAAGTGATTTATTCAGGGTGAAAGAAAATAATCCCATGTTATCGTACTAAGYAAATACAGAAAACTACTTTTTACTAATCTTTTCTATCATGACAGATGTTTATGGGGTTTGTAACAAAGGTAGGAAATAAAATATGTAAAAGTAATGAAATATGTTTGTGGAGCTAAGTGGATATTAGCTGTTATAAGATTCTTGTATTATTTGTGAAAGTGATATTTATTTATTTATTTATTGAATTTTAATATTTATTTWTTTTTTTTAGTTTTCCATGGAACAACATCTTTGTATGTGGTGCTGAGGATCGAATCTGTGCCGCACGCATGCCAGGCGAGCGCGCTACCGCTTGAGCCACATCCCCAGCCCCTGAAAGTGATATTTATACATTTTGTAAATTCTATTATTAACTGAAAGATCTGATAGTAAAAAGAAAATGAAAAAAAGGTAAATGGAATATTAAAACCCATCATTAATTAAAAAAAAAAAGAAGGCATGAAGGGAAGAGGAAAAAAAGGAAAAATAGAAAACAGCAATGTGATAGACTTAAATCCAACTTAATTATTTCATATTTTGGGTAAATGAAACCACTTATTAAAAAACATAGACTGTCAGATTTTTTTAAAAAAATGATCCAATTATATACTGCTTATAAGATACACACAAAGATATGAGAGCAAAAATAAGTATGAGAAGTTTTTATAAGATACACACAAAGATATGAGAGCAAAAATAAGTATAGTATGCAAACAACTAACCAAACAAAGCACATAGATTATATTAATATCAGAGAAGGTAGACTTTAAGGCAAGAAGTATTACTTAAAAAGGGAAATTTCATATTAACAACAAATTTTCATATTAATAATTCACCATAAAGGTATCTAAATTTATATGCAGCTAAGAACCTAGTTCCAAGTCCATAAATCAGAAGTTAACAGAATAAAAGCATAGACAAATTCACAATCATATTTGGAAAATTCAGCTCAGTTTTTTCAGTAATGGGATAAAAACAAGATATTGCGTAAGTAAATACTATCCACCAATTTATCTAATTGTTAATTATAGAATATCACACCCCCAAACATAGAATATACATTCTTCCTAAGTATACATGTAACATTTATCAGATAACATTTCCTTCAGTTCATAAAGCCAATCTCAACAAATTTCAAAAGTTTTAAAAATATATGGTGTACAATCTTAAACAAAATTTAGCAAATGGGATTTATCCAATAGCAAGAGCAGGTTGATATTAGAAAATCAATTTTAAAAATTTGTCACAATAATGAAGAATTAACCCCCACATCATTCTCTCTATAGATTCTTTAAAAATATTTGGTAAAAGTAAATATCTGTTCATAATGAAAATGTCTGCAGCTGAGGAGAAAGGGGATATCTCCAATTTGATCTATAGATTCAATATTATCTCAAAGAACCAAGAGAATTTATGGAAGTGAATCAACAAACTGATACTAAATTCATATGGAAATTTGAAGGGCTAATAAAAAGCAATCTTAAAAAAGGACAAAGTTGGAGGACTTATTCAACTGGACTTATGCTATCGTAATCAAGTACAGTGGAGTGTTGGCCTATTGACAGATCATAGATCAATGGAACAGCRAAGAGTCTAGAAATAATTCCCCAACATATGACAGTTGATGGTTAATAAAAGATCCAAGGTCATTTATTAAGAAATGTATAACTTTTTTTTAAAAAAATGGCATTAGAAAACTATATGGAGAAAAACCTAGATTTCTGTTTCACAGCTTGCACAAAAATTAAGTTGAGATGAATCATACACCCACACTTAAAAATCTAAACTTTTAAAGCTCTTTTTAAAAAATAGGAAAGTATCTTCCCAAATTTGGGGTAGGCAAACATTTCTAATGGGACACAAAAAACACTATCCATAAAATTAAAAATTCAAAAATTAGACTTCATAAAGGGCAAAAATGTCAGATATGGTGGCATATGCCTATAATTCCAACAAAATTGCAAGTTTGAGGCCAGCCTCAGCAACTTAGTAAGCTGCTAAGCAACTTAGACCCTGTCTCAAAAAAAAAAAAAAGTAAAAATGTTTGTTCCTCAGTACCATTAAGATAATAAAAGGCAAGACCCCATGTGACTAAAACATTCTCAACACATGTATTTTAAAAGAAATTTTGTAGGAAAGAACTCTTCTAAACACATTCTATGAAGCTAATATCACCCTGATACCCAAAACAGATARGACACATCAAAGAAAGAAAACTTCAGACCAATATCCTTAACAAACATAGATAGTTCAGAAAAACTGAACATATTCCCTATTTCACAACTTCTATTCWCAATAAAATACTGGCAAATCACATCCAAAAGCACATTAAAAAGAGAGTTCACCATAATCAAGTGGGGTTCATCTCAGGGATGCAAGGTYGGTTCAACATGTGGAAATCAATAAATGTAATTCACATAAATAGACTTAAAGAATCACATGATTATCTCAATAGATAAAGAAAAGCATCTGACAAAATACAGCATACATTTAGGAAAAAATAGGGATAAAAGGAACATATCTCAACACCGTGAAAGCTTTATACAATAAACCCAAGGCCAACATCATTCTAAACAAAAACTGAACATATTCCCTCTAAAGACAAGAACAAGACAGGAATACTCTATTTCACAAAACTTCTATTCAACATAGTCCTTGACTCTCTAGCCAGAGCACTTTAGGGAGAAGAAAGAATGGGATACAAATAAGAAAAGAAGAGCTTAAACTGTTTGCCAACCACAAGATTCTATATTTAGGAGAACCAAGAAACTCCACCAGAAAACTTATAGATGAATTCAGCAAAGTAGAAGGATACAAAATTAACATTCATAAATCAATGGCATTCCTTACTTCAATGAAAATATGCCAAAAGAGAAATTAGAAAAACCATCCCATTYACAATAGTCTCAAAAATAAATAAATAAATAAAACCTGAGAATCAATCTAACAAAAGAGATGAAAGACCTCTACAATGAAAACTACAGATGCTAAAGAGAGAAATTGAGGAAGACTTTAGAAGATGGAACTATCTCCCTTGTTTTTGGATAGGCAGAATTAGTATTGTCAAAATGGCCATACTACCAAAATACTATACAAATTCAGTGCAATTCGCATCAAAATTTCAATGACACTCTTCATGGGAAAAGAAAAAGCCGTGATGAAATACATTGGAAAAACAAGAAACCCAGAATAACCAAAATAATCCTTGGAAAAGCAAAGCAGGAGGCATCACAATACCAGCCTTTAAATTATAGTGTAGAGCTATAGTAACAAAAATAGCACAGTTGTGCTGGAGATGTGGCTCAAGCGGTAGCGCGCTCGCCTGGCATGCGCGCGGCCTAGGTTCGGTCCTCAGCACCACAT